CAATACATAGCGTGTATTTCTCGAGAAGGAAAGCCAAAGTGCAGCTTAGACGAGAACGGGCGAGCTCGGGTGCGTCAACGGATCCCGCCGACGAAACACGGGGAAACCCTCTCTTGGCCGTCATTTGCGCTGCCGTGCTCTTGAACGCGACGTGATCGTCAGAGGCGCAGCGTGTGCCACGCCACTTACGTTTGGTCCTAGTCGAATCAAGGCGAAACCCTCGGATCAAAGCAAACTGCAAATGTTCGCTTTAACGTTCATTTGGTAGAATTAAAACACGCGCACAAAATAATAAGAATCCTGCTGCGGCGTGGTTCTGCAATAGGGAGTTTTCGTAGATGGTTCCGGTGACCTCCGGCAAGCAATAGGCAGGCTGACCGGAAGGGCCAGCCCTCCTGCACGCAACTTTCCACAGGAGTGCCCGCCATCTTGAATTGTCGACACTTCCAGTATGGGCGGACGACAAAATAGTAAAACGTTTCAACCTGTAACTAGTAAAAAAATAAAGGGGAGCCAAAACGAGAATGGGTGACGGTTAGGCTTATATCCTAAATTGTCTTCTATTGGCGTGGCGACGGCAAAAACAATGTTTTCGCCCATACTGGAAGTGACGACAATTCAAGATGGCGGCGCCCTTGTGGAAAAGGTCTATAGACCTTTGCAAAAAAAAAAAATCGCCTTCCGCACTCAGCCATCTTTGTCTGCTGGGCTGTGGAACGCCTTCTGAGCATGCGCTGCCCCCCCCCCCCCCCCCCCCCACACACACACACACAAAAATAGCAACAGATATTGTTTGTTTTTAATACTACGCCCATAGAACCAATCCCCCGGATGCTAAAAATAGCCATCTGAAAAATAAAAATAAAAAATTCGGCTTCGTACGAGTCTTTGGAAAACTACGATGACGTAATTTTCGGTAAAGAGGCCCGATGTGTGTCTGTGTGTGCATGTGGTTGGGGCCGGGGGGGGGGGGGGGGGGTTATCACGGTTCGCAGCCGCAAGGTTCGGTTTTCATGGTCCACATTTACAAACGCATCGTCAGAAAACCAACGCGACTTCGAGTCACTGACAGCCTGGGAAAGACAGGGTGTGGCACACATTGGTTCATGCTTCCAGTATGGTGGCTAGAGAGTTGGGTGTGTCGAGCGGCGGCCGGCGCGCGGCACCGAAACGGAAATCTGTCGCTAGGAGGCGCCTCGGTAGGCCTGTATGCTATCCGACCGCGGCGTTTTGGCTGCGCTGGGGCCGAAATGCGGTGCGTGCGGACCTTTACGTGGCCGCTTGTCGGCTATGTTTTTTTACAGAATTAATTGGCGTGGCATAATGAAAGTGTGATAAACCTGGATTCGATAGTCGACCCGATTTTGGAGCGTCGACGAAGGTAAATGCGCACTTGAAGTCGTTCTATTCTCACCGCAACCTTCTTGTTCGCGTAACGGAGGCGTTGATTCCAAGGTAATACTGTAGGAAAATGGGAATTTTTTTTTTTTATTTTCTTTCGTGTACTACGTTTTCGAAATACGTGAAACGTCCACCGAGGTATCAGCAGCCGTGACGAAATTTCGCGTTTCAAGCCGCTGTGTCACGTCTGTCAAATGAATCGACGCTGAACCGCGCAGGCATTTTAACATTAAAATATGTTTGAGGACACTGGACACTTCTGGTGCAATTCCCCTGTGATTCAAGAGCAGACATGGCTGGCGAGAAACAACGCGAAAAGTTGTCATGACACATAGCAAACAATGCATTTTTGGCACTTTACATTCTTATTCGACGTGGAAAACTGGCAATGAAATACAAAATCGATTTTAAAAGAGAGTGAGCGAAGTAACATATTATACATGTTACATGAACCATTCCTGAACGAAATATTCAGGAATAGGCAATGCAATTGTCGTAACTTCGGCAAATAAAATATCTCGAGAAAAAGCAAAAAAGCATTTCTTTTGTGCTAACCCCCATACAAAATGGCTCATGGCATATGATCTTCCACATGGTAACAAATATATTTTTCTCATGTGTACCTTCTTTTCCACACTATAATCGCAACACTACTAAACATCGTAAGGCTGTCCTGGGTATTCTTGGCTCCATGCGTGAACAGGTTTTCAAGGCTGCGTCTAGAGCAAACCTAAGGGCACCCAGACACCAGTAGTGATCGTATTTGTCTTCAGTAAGTAAAGACATATTTTCGATTGATCAAAAATATTGTGCCCCCTCACCAGATGACTGCACCTTGATTGTCGGGATCACGCTGTTTTTGGCAGGAAATAGTATAGGAACACAGGGTCAAAGTACAACGAGGTTCTTTACAGCCATTGGCAAGACCCACAAGCACTCTGAGAATGAACATACTCTATCATGGTACCATGAAAAGGCATATCTTGCAGTCAGCGTTCTGCTTTGAAGTCTATCAGGACAAGAATGACAGTACCGCAAACAGTTATTAAGTACCGTCGCATTTTGGTCACTTAACTTCAAAGGGGCTATAACAGAACACAAAGGACAGAAACGGCCTGAGTCTGAGGAAGCATATTTTAGCCTGGCCGAATATAACCTCATTTATACCGAGGCACACCGAACAGTCTAATTATGACACCTCCGCTAGATTTTTATGTCGTTGCATAAAAATTGCCATCAACAAAAGTGGACACCATTGTGACATTGCGACGGAAATTTTTATGGAGAGTCCATGGTATAAAGTAGCTCTGTGCGAAAGGCCAGCTTCATACAGACGTGTTGCTACGTGCATGCAACCAGGTTAAATGAATGCTGAACCGAAATTCGGATTTTAGAAATTAAGGCCGCAGACCACCGTTGGTTAAAGCACATCTAAAAGGTACTTCTAGTAAAGTACAAAGTAAATGAGACGCTATTAACGTCTCGTTTACGTACCGGTGTACTTAATATACTTACACGTAAATTATTAAGTGCACTGGGAGCAACGTACTTGAAGTAAAGTACGATAAATACAATGTACTTTCAAAGTAAAGTGTAAGTATTTTAACAGAATCTTTCTTGATGCCCTTTCATTCCCCTATGCAGTGATTTTTTTTTAATTGGTATGCATTACCCAGAGGTAATCAAAGGAGCATGACTTCAAAAACAGCGGCAAATATTTGATAAAGTCAAGCTGCCACAGAGTAATTTTTGTTTTCAGGAATAGAGCCAAATTCAGAAGACCCTCTTCTGAATTTGGCGCCCCTTGCACTCAATTGTTGCACCCAAGGGGGTTAAATGTACTAGGAGAGAGCATGACGTCAGCACCATAGCTGCTGCAAGCAATCCTCTCATTGAAAAATGCCCTCTCCTTAATAAAAAAATAAAACAAAAAATAAATACTCAAGCGTGCTGGTGATAATTAATCATCATGTGACACCAGCTGCGATTGGGGTGCGAGAAAAATTAAGGAACTTTCAAATAGAAGGAAAAGGCAAAAGAGAATGTCTCAAACCAACGTTCTCTTCTGTTTCCTATTATACGTCGACATGGAAATTTAATTTTTTCGCACCACAGACTTAGGTGCTACATTATGATTATTTTTCTCTCCTAATATTTTAAACATCCTCGATTGCGTTGACCGACTGAGAAGTAGCAAGAGTTCAAAAACCTACGGGGAAGCCGCTCCCAGTACAAACGGGGCGATGCGTCGTCTGCTCACGTGTTTCTGGTGAGAGTAGAATATCCCTCCCACTATTTCTTCGGAGTTGACAAGGCATCACTTCATGATACAAATTTAACAAAACGAAATATGGGCAATGCACTTTGAAGTCGGGAATTGTACTTTCCTCGGAAAGTAGCAGAAAAGAATACTTTAAGTACAAGTACGTACTCAGAGAATGTACCTCAAGTAAAGTACAAGTTTCCTAAACCTAATTTAAGTAGTACTTTAAGTACAATGCGCTTAAAGTACTTCCCAACACTGGCCGCAGACGTGTTCAGCAGGACGCTACGTGCTTGTGCGTGAGTAAGTACTCACGCACAAGCACGCAAGTGTTTTTGTGAGATTGAGTAAATTGTATGTATACTTTCTTTGTGAATAAACTTATTATTATTATTATTATTATTATTATTAACCCCAAAACACCGCTCATACAGCGATATCTCGAACGTATCGAGCGATATTTTAGAGAAGTATCGCTCGATGTACCGCTCGTCGAAGTGAAGCGCGCACACCCCGGAGTTTTCCTGAAGATGCGTGTCTCCCCTCGGAATATTCTTGTCCCAGTGAGAGTAGAGAACTGGGTCCTTCGGGGCGGCGAACAACGTGCGTTTTTCTTTTGCAGACCTGTAGCCTGTCGTGCATCCTGGAACGAAGCAGTGCTTCGCTCGCTGCTTTTTCTTTACGCCGGAGGTTGACGGGGCAACGTCCATAGTCTCCACGTGTCACTTGACGGACGGGCATGCATGAACGGTTGAAATAAATTCACACGAGCGCTGAAGAACAGATGAAAGCGGGCGTGAATTCGTCGCTACCCGCCTCGCCGCACGCAAATCCCCGCGCCAGCTGCGCGCGCCTAGCATACACGCTGACTAGAGCGCCCCTGGTGGTGATTTTCCAAACCGGCCGCGGCGATGCATGGGAGAGCCGGCGCGCTCGACACACCCAACTCTCTAGCCACCCTACTTCCAGCTCGGTGATTGGCTCTTCGGCTTTCCTATCGGCTGATACTCCAATCTCATTGGCTGCCGAGCGCTAATGAGATGCTCCGGAATCGCCACCACGCCCCGCATCTCTTAACAGTGACTCCTTCACGAGCAGCGGTCATCCGAGCGGACGTCGGACAAAAAGGAGCACTCCGAAATTGGATCGGGTCCATTCATTCGGACGACGCTGCCGAGGGGGAGGCGACCTTGGGGTTTCATGAAAGAGCGTCACGCGAAACTTCCAGAGACGAGATACAGTTATCCAAGAGCTGCTGGAAAAAAAAAAAAAAAAAAAAAAGGGGGGGGGGGGGGGGGGGGGGGAAAGAAAAAAAATGAAAACGTCGGCGACTTACCATTGAGACGGCGGCGCCGAGGGCCCCGTTGTGGTAGGGCGGAACAACATATCCAAATGGTCCATGGATCGGTTCGAACGACGACTTTCCTGCGAGGGAGAAAGGGCACATTCAGCACTCTGCTCGGGTCACCATATACACCCTTCGAACGTTTACTAATTCACAGCCCAGCAGGCATATTTAGAAATGGGTCGGTACGTAATGAACCGAGCTGCAAAAGTCACACAAGTGTCTCATACTCAGTTATTTTAAGTATAACAAAGTGTGAATGCGTTTTTTCTTTTATTTCTTCTTTCGGGAAGGGAAAGGGAGGAGGGTAAGTTTTAGCAACACACATGCTCACCATGACCTGTATCATCATCAAAACCGTTTCATCGATGATCGAGCACTCCCATCCCTAGATATTTGTGTTCTTATTCCCGCCGTAACTTATCTTCCTTTTCCTTCTTTCCCAAAGGGCTGCAGGGTCGCTCTTGCAGGAGAGCAGCGCCACAACATAAGCCGGAAACGTTGAAACTGCGCTCGCTATTTAAAAAGTAAGACAATTACACTAATTTAGGTAGCACACAAAGAGGTTCAAGGAGCTTCCTGCTCGTCATACCCCGGTGCAAGAGCTACAACTGGGCGAACGCGGAGCGACAAATATTTGTCTCCTCAAACCCGGCGCTCCGCCACTTCCCCGCAAGCGTTTCGGTACGTTTGGCTCGTGTGTTACCCCCTCCTCCGCAAATAACGAGTTGGCGGCGAAAGGAAGATCATAGGGAGTGTTCGTAGATCGTTTCCGCTTTCCCGCAACGTTCTCCGCAATCCGCTACGAAATCTGGGACTCTGGAGGGAAGCCTGGCGCCGCGCATGCGCATCAGAGGCGTCTTCATTTGAGAGAGCGTAGCGGAGGTGGAAAAACGGTCTACGAAGACTCCCCAATACTCGGGGCTTAAAGTCTGCGGGGTCTCCGAGGGTCTTGGACGCCCCACTGATTTTAAGGGATGGTTTGAGACCCTCCTCCACAGCCCCCAGCATTAGTGAACATATCTTGCAATAAAATAGTTTGTTTTCAGGGATGTGACAGTTGGGGATTAGCAATTTGAGGGTTGTAGGTACAGCGTGGGTAAAGTAAGCAGCGGGGTCTATTTTATGTGCATCTAATACATCTCGTCAGATCCCCCCCCCCCCCCTACCTGCTTGTAGGGACCACCCTCAACTTACGGGAGGCTTTAAACACTGCTAATACTGTGGCTCCGTCGTTTAGTTCCTCTAGTGTGGATGGCATACATCTGATTGTATCGATTGGACATGCGTTCGCAAAGCAGGCGACGTCAACAGCGCGGCTCTCGAGTCTCGACCACGCGAAGGACGAAACGGGGAATCAACGATACTACTACGGACGCGCAAAAAGCGTCGGCAAAGTATCGGGTGTCGTTATCCGAGTGACCGGAACGATGCGCTAAACCTCTCGAACGAACGGTAGCAAAATACGCCCGAAAACAGAAAGAGGCGGCTCGCTCGTAACACGAGGGGAGGCGCAGGACGTGCACTTGAGCTGGACACGCAAAGCGTCCGAAAACACGGCGGCCCGCACAACACGCGGGCAGTCCGAGCGAACGGAATGCCACAACGACAAAGAGGAGGAGAGGGGGATAACTGCTCGGGCACAGCGCCCTCTCCTCCTCATCCCTCGAGCAGCCCGGAGGCGGCGGCAGCGCTTCCATCCATCAACGGCGCGCACAGGTGCGGGCCGGTGGTGAGCGGCAGAGCCAAGTGGCGTCCGACAGCGGAAAGCACGCGGTAGCCATCGGCTTCGAGTGTTGCGCCTCAAGAGAACTAGGCCTGCACGGAGTGTTTTCGAATCTGCGAAAACCGCAACATGCCGGCTCTTCTTTGCATCGTTGAAGCCAAAGCAGGGCGTTTACCGAATTGCTTCACTCAAATTCCCAGAGTCTTACAGGTTTTCCTCGAATATTTCGATTAAATTCACTAACCATTAAAAAGAGAGAAAAAAAAAAAGACACGCAGGTTCGCTTCCCCTTTAACCAGGTGAATCAGCAGGGTGAGCTCCTCCCACCTCTTTACACGTTAGCAGGACGAACGCTGGAGAGGAGGTCGCCTTCTCTCCAGCGTTCGCTCTGCTGAAGTCGAAAGGGCTGCGAGGAGCTTCTCCCGAAACTCTCAACCTGTCGCCGACATAGTGATGCCCTCCAAACGGACCAGATTCGTGATCAGTCTGATGAAGGTCGGATCGTTCGCGCCCATAGCGCCACTCACGCACCTGTCGACAACGCAGATTGAGGAGGCCTCCTCCCTAGACACGCGGATAGCGAAATCCTCTTGCCGCCACGCAGATGACGATTAAATAAAGCGAAGAAAAAAAAAAGAAAAGAAAGAGGCCGGAGAAAAGAGACAACCCCCCGGGAAAGGAGAGTGCGGCGGCCGGCCGGCAACACCTCCCAACTTAACAAAAGGCCGCAGCGCGTGTTTCTTCTACGTCATCCATCGGAGGCCACACCGAGCGCAATTCGTATTCTTGGGCCGCGGTCGCACGCTGCTAGCACATCATACAAAAGACAGTCGGCAGACAGTGTCGGCGGCATGTTTCATCCTCGTGTGACGTCAGACTGAGCAGGCATAAAAAAAACTGTCACACTGCCCACACATCAGCCCGCATTCCTCGTTACGTTGACGTGGTCGACGATCCAACGCTACGGCCTTCCGTTTCGCTGGTGTTGCCTCGCCACGACGCCCTTCTTTTTTACTATCACGCAACGATTAGAGCGCATACGAACAAACACGGCGGGTCAACGACGAAAAAAAAAAATCGATAAAAAGCGAACGAGCGGTTAAAACGGACTTCCAAAGCAAGACGACGCGGGAAGATAATAAAACTAAAAAAAGAAAAAGAACAGTCCGCGTGCGCGTAACACCCATAAAAAGGCTCGCGGAGATTAAGAAAGAGAGGCCGAGTAAGAGAGAGAGAGAAAGAACCGGGCTAAAACAAGAAGCCCAAAATCGCGCCCCCAGTGAGGGGAGAGGAGGAGGTTACGCCGAAGGGCCGACCAAAATCGCATTACCTCTAGAAAAACAAACGTGACGAGGGCACACGGCATCTCCTCAGCGATTTAAACGAACAAAAACAACCATATCGACCAAAAAAAAAAAAAAAAAGATATCTAACATAATATCCGTACAAACAAAAGAATAAAAAAAAGAAAAAGCCGAAGCGACGAGAGGATGAAGAGGAGGCAGCAAGGAGGCTAGACTCGGATGGAGCATCGCTGCGCGGTCACGCAAGTCACCTCTGAACCCCAACGCGATAAAGAGCGGGGCAGTCAGTCGGGATGAAGCCCCACTTGCAGCGGGGCACCCCATGCCCCGGCAACCATCTTGGCTACACCCCTCTCTCTCTCCTCTACGCGAACACCCCCCGCACCTCGCTAACGTACGACTCGCCTCCTTCGGCGCGAGGTATTCGCCGCCACTAAACCACCGAGCTGCACGGTGCACGCCAGACGCGAGGGACCGTGCGCGCCTCTTCGGCCACTCCCCCGCAGAAACATCGCCTCTTTTCTTTTACGGCGCCAGAGATTATGCCCGCGATGCTCGTTTATATCTCGTTCGCGGAGCGGCGCACGACGAGTTCAGATAGGAGATTACGGCTTTATCTATTTCAGTTTGTATAATTCGTACGACGGGCTAGCGGAACTTGGGTTAAGAACGCTCTCTCGACCGGGCCGACAACGGGGCCGACGTTTCTCTGTTCCGGGAAAGACACTGGACAAAGAAAACTGCCTTTGTGTTTGTCCCTCCTTCTCCGGGGATTGCTACTAATTAGTCTGGCACGTAGACAGTAGGCCCCCTCCACCCCCCCCCCCCCCCCCCCCCCCCCGAAATCTTCCACTTTGCTGGGACCTAACCTCCCCCCTCCCCCTTATACAGCACTTTGTACTGCCCCCCCCCCCCCCCCCCGAAACAAAATCCTGGCTACGTGCCTGCTATTAGCATTCTTGTCCAGCTCGCTCGCCCCTTCGCATTAGTTTCATTATTACGAAGAACACATCTGGTGAGAAGGGAGGCGACACATCTTTCTCTACCCTTCAGCTGCGCACCCAGGGTGCCCTAGCTGCGCGACGAGGTTCGACAATAGGGAGTTTTCGTAGGTCGCTTTCGCCGCCGTCCCACCGCAACGCTGTCCGCAACCCGCTACGATACCCGGAACTCTTCAGTCAAGGACATCGGCGCGCAGGCGCAGTAGCGGCTTCTTCGTTGCGGAGGGCTTAGCGGAGGGGAAAACGCGGTCTACGAAAACTCCCTACTGTGTGGCTAGAAAACAACGCGTCCGCAACATTTTCCGATCCGTTCGACCACGCTATTTGAATATCCATTCGCACCTAGAAACGTGAGCTACATCCTGTTAGTTCACCGAGACGCTGTGACCTAGATCGAACTGCCGCTATAACATTGCTTTTGTCCCGATTGTGCATAATGTTTGGCCCCAAAGCTGACACAACGAAGCCGTTTTCCGCCTCCTTTCAGTCGGCAGGACGGGAAGGAGGGTACCAAATCCGCGTATTCTCGAGCCAGTATTTCCTGAAAAGGGTAGATTGCTCGGCCATCGATGTTCATGAAGATGATACGAACGATACACGGACCCTCCTAAGTTGGGCAACCGAAGAACAAACGCTCACCACGAGGGCCGGTATTTCGACTTGGGGCCTAATAAGCTTCCACGACGGAGAAACACCCGAATAGAATGTTAAAGAATAGTGCTCCAGAAGTGAACAGCGCTGCCGTAAATATTGTTCGTCGAAGGGTTCGGTTTCCAGTACTCGACACTCTAAAAATAGCCTCCACCCTTTAAGTTCCATCGAACTGACATAAGCTGCGCGTGACGTCACGCAAGGGAAAGGCGGCGCCCCGGGTCACGCTGGTGGTTCACTTAGCACCGCGTGTGCGTCCGCCCACCAACGCGTAGTAGGCCGCTGGCAACCCGAGCATGCGCAGACACGCACCATCTTCTCAACAAAGGCACCTCCACACGTGAAGTCGAAAACAACGTGCCGAGCTTGCGATGATGGCGTTTAGCCAGCTGGGACAA